ATATACAAGTGGTCTACTAACAACTACACTGGCATACAAAATTACTGTTCTCGTTGTCAAGGAAATGCAGACGAACATTTTCAACCTCAGTGAAATTGGCGTGAATTACAAAGCAAACAAAAACGTGTGACTGGCTTTGAGCTTGGCTTTGGTGACTCATTCAGAACTTTGGTAGTAGTTACTTCCTACGTCTTTCACCAAGAAAGCAGGTGTAAAATATTCTCTCAGTTGGGGGCCGGTAATCAGTTTCAAGGCTTCCATGTAAGTAAGCAAGAAGTAAAGCTACTAATGCTTCAGTAGACTGCCGAGGCCCACGACCAAATAGTAAAGAAAGGGTGCTTTTTCATAGCTACTTTTGCGACTCCTTCTCTCTTTCTCTTTCTCTCTGTGTGTCAGTTGCACGCGTCACACCACCGCGGCTAAATTGCAACTACTTGGTGCTAGCACCATCCGGCCAGATTGAGAAATATAGCAAATACAGCCGAAGATGCCTCACGCCAACAGTGCGTAACAAGGTTTTTGTTGAGTTTTCTTCTTATTCTTGGCTTATACAACCTTGGACGGAAGCCCATTGCAACAAAATTTTATTTCTCTAATTTTGTGCAATTTGGGTTTGACGGAAACTCGGCGACTGCGCCTATCTGATGAGCCCCAAGAAGGACGGAACTGTTCGTGGACTGTCGAATAACTTTCAGCAATCTGAGTAGTGTATCACGTCTATACATGCATCGCGATATCTCGAATATCGTACCGACTGAAACATGAGGCGGTCTGGTGCAGCACAGTCAGTTACCTAGAAAGAGTACAAACAGGAGATTCAACTGGGTTCCAGGTGAGTCCCTCACAAAACCAAATTTGTTTGCAAATGAGTGTATTTCGCCAAAATGGTTAACCATATTGTTAAATACGGCTCTTCGCATGGCAATACACATACGTATGTAGTAAGTGTTTTTGGGGACGCACTGTGATAAACGTTTGGACAGAATTAGCCTTCCTTGAATTAGCGTGTTCGTTTAAAAGCCTTCGTTGGTCAAAAACCAATCCAAAGGGGTGATTCAGCCTCATATGTCTATGCCTTAGGCAAATCCGTGTGCATCATTGATTTCGAATATTTATCTGACACACACCAGTCAGACCCTCGAGCTTCTACATCTTTTTTCACCCTGATCCATTATCAATAAACTACTTTTTCCGTTGACCAATGAAACAACCAACACAGTGGTTCCTAACACATTTTGTATCGCTACAATCTTGTTAATTACAAGGTGGTCGGTTAACACCGCCGGCCCAAACCCAGATTTCTGTGCACACGATCAATTCTCCCTCATCTCCGCACACAAAGATCAAGAAGGACACGAGTTCGACTGGAGAGGCGTTCGCATACTGGCTCAAGCGAGAACAAAAAGAGAACGCGAATTTACGGAAGCGTGGTGCTCCACCGAAGAAGCCATCTAAAAACACTGAAATTGATCCCATTTACCAGCCACACAGAGCGAGAGAACGCCAGGACCACAGAGATTAGAGCTGCACAAACAAACAGACGGGGAACTCATAGGAGAAGCAGGAAAGCACCCTTCAAACGGACACATCAATTGGATTGGAGGAGGCGTCCAACCGAAGCACCAAATCAACTGGCGGACTCAGGGACACTAACCGCCACGGTGGAGGAAATAGGGCGGTACAAGCAACCAATCAAACTCGAGAACGGCAACAAAGATCACAAACGGACCAATAGATTCACTAAATTCGTTACACTTCAAGTAGCCAATCACGTCAGAAGATAACAGATAGCCTTCGACTGCTATATAAGCACACGCAGGCAGCCAGTTGCCAAGCTCGGCGAACAGATCAACAGCCACCTGATCAACAACCAATAAACTCACCCGAGTTACCAATATTTCCCCACATTACCAATTTCTGTGCATTATGTATTCTGGTCATTATCCACCCGGGTTGTACAGATAGGAGGTGATTCAGAGCCTGTAACAAATCACAAGGCAACACGATGAGTCAGTAACTGTCTGAATCAGTCCCAAAGCCCACCGACCAATCGTCTCACTATTCCAGAATGTACATCTGAAGGCCAGCGAAAGTTAAGTTCAGTCAGATGGCTTCGCTTGTTTTGGTCACTAAGGCATATAAACAATTGGGCACCAAAAGCAAAGTGTGGCCAAGCCGGTGAGGATCCAAACCAATCAAATTCAGATGAATTTAAACAGACAACACACGATTCGGAAAGGCGTCCAGGAAGAATGTTTAAGGACCAATAAAAATGCTTTGACTTTGCTTAATGAGAGTTTGCAGGAGCAAAGTGAAGCTTTTTCTTGCTCGATCTCCGGGGTCAAGACACAATTTACTCACCGCTCAATCAGATATTTCGTAGTTTTGCCTTTTAGTTATCTTCGTAGAAAATTCTATCGACTTCCAACTTTGCTCATTTATGTGTCCTTAGTATGCGGTAGATTCAGACAAGTTCATCCGTCATCTAGATTGGGGTTGAGATTCCTCCGAGAGAAGAACCGACTGCCATGGATAATTTCGTTGGCACAGTTTAATCGGTATAAATGCCCATCTGGATACAGAATTCCGTGCTGAACATGGTAAGGATATGTAGTGACAGACCCAATAGCGAAAACCAGTTAATACGATTGAATGAGTGACCCCTAGTGGGTCTTCCAGTTGTCGTTTACCAGCTAAATAACAAAGCAACTTTATTTTTGTTGTTTTAAGTAACAAGTCTACATGTTATCAAGAAAAATGTGGCAGCTAATTTCACAGAGTTTGGAAACCGAGTCGTCCAACTGCAGGCCATGGTATTCGTACCATCGTCATCGTCATGGCCATTATCATTAATCAGTATCATCACCACTGACAGCAACAACAGATGAAAACACTGGCACCTCACCGCCGTACAACCATGTCATTTTATTTGAAGAAAGCCTCAGCAAGTCGTCTAATAGGCTAACAGTTTAGGCGCAACGTACGGAATAAAATCTTTCAAACGGTTTGTAACGGATCTCCCATTTCTAATAAGTGGTCATCGCAATATTATTGTCCACGTTGGATTAAACCAATCAACTTGGAATTCGTTAATCGGCGTCTTCGCCTGAAGCGGTACGTTTGACAAAATCTCCTGTTGCTGGTGTTCGCCTGTCCATCTTCAGGTTAAGCTTTGCGTACAGTGTGACCAAGATGCAATCATTCGAAACCGTTTCAATTCGGACCAGATGCTTCACGTGACCTGAAAGCACTCGCAAAGCATACCGCAAACGGAACGAAACACGTGAGCCTGCACTATCGGGGGTCTCACGTGTTGTGCCTACGTCACGCGGTCGATTCCTCGAAATCACCAGATCTCACATCATTGTGACCAAACTGGCTATATAAGTAAGGTTATCCAAACTGTCTCTCTTCAACAGCATCCTTGAATCTACATGAGAGTTGCTTTTGCCAATGGCAAGAGAATAGTCCAATCAGTCTTCTGTGGGGATGGTGTTTCTTAGGGCAGATAACGATACGGGTAGACACAACTTATCTTCGTATGAATATATGGTAAATTACCGGTACTGGTGGCTGCATACAGTGACTATTTCTGAGCGCTCGCGTGAAACGATTATCTCCTAAGAAGAGCCGCGTACATCATCCACAGAGACCACTGCTGTTGTAGTGGCTACCAGTCTACCACACAAGTCAAGACTCGCAAACATTCTTGCGTCATTCCTACTTGAATTTTGCCAAATTGCTCTTATCAAGAACAAGAGAAGGACATTTTCGTGTTTGTTTCCGCCAGAACAGTATTACTACAGTAACATTCGATTGTACCGGTGGACAGTGCTGTGCAAACACGTACAAGCACATACAAATACGGGCCAACAAATCCAGTCAACATGATCAGTCCAAAAGTGGGGTCGCAATTCGCCAAACCCAGTGCTATCATTTCGGGATTCAACGAAGTTGAATCCCACCCTAGTTGTTCGGTTGGATGACTTAATTCGGTGTCGCTGTTCATTTTGGGCGTCGTTGTCTCTCTGGTTCCGCAATATGGTGCAACGGGAAGTCAGATATAAATAAAATGAACAGAAAACAGAGAAAACCACACGAAAGAAAGTGCAAAAAGAGAGGCTTGTCTCAAGCAGAAGAATGTGCATGAAGCAACCATTTGGTGATATCAAGGAGGATCACTTGAAGTGTCAACAAGACGTAATGTGGTCACAACTAAATAAAATGGTTTGTTTGCATTTCCAATCAAGGGACCATTAATGGATAGCGGGCACTCAATGAGAGTGCGAGCGACGACTGATACTTTCTCCGGAAGTCAACAAAGGCATACGTTACCAGCCTACGGCTGTTTTCCGTTGACCCCGTTTCGCTCAAACAGAAGTTAGAGAGTAGAACAGAACGGCAGGGGAAACTCAAGCCAGTATCTTCTTTACTGAGGCGGCACATTGCTGATCTGCCAAAAATCGTTCGATGAAGCCACGAGGAAAAAGCGAAGAAGCAACTGTTTCTTAACTAAACATTACAAAATCTCTACGTCCTTCAATAATGTGGAAGAATACTTCTGAATCCTGTATCTAGGATTGAAGTAAAATGGACATAACAGTACCTGCTGAAACTGTAACGCTCAGACTGAACCCGTCAGATTAAGGGTCGAAGGGCAGAATTCCTCCGAAGAGTTCACAAAGTTGTCAGCTCCATCAAAGTGGATTCATTCATTTTAGGCTCAGTAGCTAGTTGCTGTAGGTGCCTCACGAAATTAAACAGAGGCTCCTAATTAAAGCACAACGGCAAGAATGGTGATTAAGTTAAAATATATTGCATCGTTGGCTTTCGGGAAATAATCCTCCTTGTTTCTCGTGGTCGCCAGCCCCGAACTGGTACCGTACGGCAGTTCCGTAGAACGATTGACGAATTTCGAATCAGCCTGTGTTTTTGCAGACAATTTTTTTCCTATGGACATCATTCCAACTAGAGGATATTCATTAAATGGCTGACGAGTAATGGCAGTGGTAAGTTATTTTTGCTTGCGTTCCCAGAATGCGCAAAAAGTCCAAATTTACCGCAAGCTCAATTTTCGTGCAAAAACAGTATGTTTTGTTTGGTGGCATCGAAACTGCTCGAAGGTTGGTGGCCGATGGTCGTGGATATTTCGGGAGCTATCCTACGATCTTCCCGGAGTACCCAGTTGCTTGACTCAGTTTTATTGAGGAGTAAGTGGTAATCACATCGTACACGAGTGATCCATTGTGAAAGATGGACAAGCGAGGGCTCCAAATCCTTAGAGTTGATAGCATTTCAAGGTTATTCGCGCATCGTTGCCTTTTGCAGGGGAGTTGACGTATACTTGGATAGTGATTTGTCCACTCCTGTTCATGGCGCACTCGCGAAGCATGCGGATGAGTCGTCTTGAATAAGTAGTACAGCCGCCTTAGTTACATCGCGGCAGCCAGCTGAAAGGTCTTTTCTCCCTCCCCCTAATAGGAGGAAGTTTTCGCATCCAACTTCACACAGGGTGAAGTTCATTGGTACTTGGGGTGGTGGTCACATAGGTCATGAGACGAACCATAAAATGTTGTCCCAACGGTTTTTGGTCCAGCTAGTCCCGTCAACATTAAGAACAATACCTGGGTGGACAGGAGTCCAGATCAGTATTTGCTCGGCAAGACTCTGAGGTCTCATGCAGCTTAACTAAAGTGGCTACAGTAGAATGAGGAAATATGGACAACGACATAGATCAGCTGCAACTTTCACCACACGAAACCGTTATAGACAAAAGCTGTCGCCACTTGGCTGGCTCTATCGGGGTTGAATACCTGTCAGCCAAACTCTCAATTGAGGACGACTGAGAGCAAAAGCCTGCATGTTCACTGTCTGTGATCTGCCTGTCTATCCGCGATATTGTCTTCCCACGATTGGATACACCACAATTCTAGACTGCACAGATCTGTATATCTATTTCGGCTCACTCGGAATGTGACCGTCACAGTTAGCAGTCTCGCCTGCCTCAACATGGAAAACAAATATTGTTTTGCTTTTGGTGGAGGAATGCACAAGTGGCTGTTTGATCGGGTCATATTGATTTCAGACTCTCCTTGAATCACTTGCCACCCATGTATTAACCAACACATAGAAACTCCAGTAACCAACAGCATCGCCAACCAACCAACAACAGAGCTATAGTCCAGTAATGCATGGGATTGAGAAGTTGGACTACAGTCACCGGGACATAGAGACATTTCGTATTACTTACATTGCAGTGGATATTGTTTCCTTATTTTATCTGCGGGAAAGCCAATACTAGTTGAAAAACTGTTTTGTCTTCACCTGTCAGCGGCACACTGGTTAAATAAGCACAGTTGAATTGCTCCCCTTGAATGTGATTTTCAAGAAATCTCCACCTAAGCAACAATTTAGGTGAAAACCACACAGTATTCTCTCTTTACGAGAAACTTGGACAGAGGAAGCGCTCAGAAGAAAGTGATTTTGATTGGCAGTTTTTCGAAAACGCGAGTCCTCCAAAGTCGCACGCTCAAGAGTCCCCTGAGTTTCGTGAACTGCGCATTGCTGGTGTTTCCCGTTGAGGATGAAACAGTTGTATGGTGCTTCTCGGCTTTTCAAAATACGGTGGCTTTACCTATGGGACAAAATATGCATCTCAAATGTCACTACCAACCATCTATAGGTAATCACATTCACGTCCCACTCATTTGAAAGTTTTTCCTATCCTAGTGCCCCACACCAAAAGGGGAAGCACCGGACTCGCGTTTCGCTCCTATTACAACTCACCAACACGGTAGACCCTTGGGGTTTGGATTCCGAGTGTGAGCTTGTTGCTATTGGTCCAGCAGTGAACGCCGGACGTGCCTGATTTACCACGTCTGAACAGGTGAATGTGCTCATCCCCGGATGATGTGGGTAGTTTTTCCGACGCCTCAGATGCCCACAACTTATCTCTAAGTAGCCCAGAGGAAAAATAAATTCACAAGATGGGTGAAAATTTAATTTGAAAAGTCGTCACCCGGGGACCCTGTCGGCACGATTGCGTGATTTTGATTCCGTTATTGAAATGTGTGTGGCTCTATATCCTGTCTAAGTGCGATCTAATCGCATCACCGATCAGCCACTCGTAACTGAACGGTTAAGTGTTCAGAGTACTAGCCTGTAGGTCGTGGGTTTGAAATTCTGTTGAGCTTTGTAAGGTGTTCACTGCTTATGACTCCCAATAAGGTTGAAACAGCTCAGCCGTGCTTCAGCATAGACTGTCTTCACTTAGAAAGCGAAATTTTCATTGAAAAAGACCAAATCATCACGTAACGAGTAATGGCCTCTTTCATCATTTTACAAGCTACATAGGTGCGCATTGCGGTGTTTCCCGTTGAGGATGAAACAGTTGTATGGTGCTTCTCGGCTTTTCAAAATACGGTGGCTTTACCTATGGGACAAAATATGCATCTCAAATGTCACTACCAACCATCTATAGGTAATCACATTCACGTCCCACTCATTTGAAAGTTTTTCCTATCCTAGTGCCCCACACCAAAAGGGGAAGCACCGGACTCGCGTTTCGCTCCTATTACAACTCACCAACACGGTAGACCCTTGGGGTTTGGATTCCGAGTGTGAGCTTGTTGCTATTGGTCCAGCAGTGAACGCCGGACGTGCCTGATTTACCACGTCTGAACAGGTGAATGTGCTCATCCCCGGATGATGTGGGTAGTTTTTCCGACGCCTCAGATGCCCACAACTTATCTCTAAGTAGCCCAGAGGAAAAATAAATTCACAAGATGGGTGAAAATTTAATTTGAAAAGTCGTCACCCGGGGACCCTGTCGGCACGATTGCGTGATTTTGATTCCGTTATTGAAATGTGTGTGGCTCTATATCCTGTCTAAGTGCGATCTAATCGCATCACCGATCAGCCACTCGTAACTGAACGGTTAAGTGTTCAGAGTACTAGCCTGTAGGTCGTGGGTTTGAAATTCTGTTGAGCTTTGTAAGGTGTTCACTGCTTATGACTCCCAATAAGGTTGAAACAGCTCAGCCGTGCTTCAGCATAGACTGTCTTCACTTAGAAAGCGAAATTTTCATTGAAAAAGACCAAATCATCACGTAACGAGTAATGGCCTCTTTCATCATTTTACAAGCTACATAGGCAAAAAGTGAACTTCCCTTTTGAAGCTTATTAACCCAGAACATAGGTGAATGTCACGTACGGCTAAGCACAACTGAAACCACTGGGTCAATCACTAATCCGATGGCAAGGTACGTTTGCTGATGGTACCTCCACCTTCAAAAGTAACAGGGCTGTGTGTTTCAATAAAACAAGAAAAGGCTACCAAAGGATTGGCATATATTGCATACGTGCTATATAAGACGCCGTCGACAGAAAGCAATGAAACTAAAGCCCTAGTGAATTCAGGACGGTTCACTCAAGAAGGTGTCTCTAGCAGGGACCATGGAGAAGGCCTACCAACAGCCAGATATCAAAGCCACTTGGAAATCGTCACAAACCATACAGACAATTCAGAACTGATGGTTAGCTATGAACGGCAGGAAAATTTACACATGATGTGAACAGCTCAGTGATCAAGTGACAAGCACATAGCATACGTTTTTCGGACGAAAGGAAAGAAGAGGGAGCTGATTGTAACGGCGAGAATTATTATGCTAACGAAAACCAACTATTCCCCATTTCAGAAAGCCAGTGAACGGTAACCCTAACATATCTCTGTAGTAACGTCTACGAGGAAGAGTGGTAACTCCTCGTTGTTCCAAAAGCAGGAATCTATTGAGCAACGTTTACGAGTGAAATGTAGGGGTACAGGTGATCAAAAAGCGTATGTAAATCCTGACTCTTAGAACTACATGTAACCTTATGATGGTCAAGCCTTGAGTGGATTCTCATGGTATTTCACAAAATTATGAACAAAACGTGGAAGTGGGGGACAAATTTATTACTCTTCAGTTCAGTTTCTAATCAGGAGAAAGTACCTCAATGAACTTCGTCCGATGATGCAGCAGGGCGGAGAGTATTTAGGATATTTTATAGCTTACGAATACTAAATACAGCGCTTGAACCGTTTCGCTCGTCAGAACCTCTGATATCCAATGTTTCCGTCGATGTCGGTACATCTTTGAGCGTCAAAAAGTCGAAGGATTTCTAGCCCCCCTCTACACTGAGATCCTTCTGTTTGAACCCTACATTCAATTCGTTAAAAGTAATACACCACACTGCATTGTGATAAAAAGGAATCGAACATTGCAATTGTATTGAATAATTTTTTAGAACTACTGAGGTCAGATAAGTCCACGGCGATGAATAGACACTTTGTTTCATCCTTCAAACTACCTGGTCTCAAATAGCTAAAAAGAACAAACATGCACTTATGTAGGTGCAATATCCTGAAGACTCTTATCGTTAGGCCGAAGCAGACGAGCCCCAAACCTATCGCACACAGACAGAATCTATGGCAGATCAGGACAGAAGATTTCTTTAGCAAAGTTTAGGATAGAGTAACCGATGCAGGTGGGTAGTTCAGAAGAGGTCGCCATTCTGCAGTGTAATAAATTTGTCTCCTATATCATTGCATGATAAGTGGTTATCCAATTTATAGTCGTTCCAAAACTATACTTCCTTGATTAATCGCTACCTCCAAACTAACCGATATGGGTTTTGCGTTTGATGGAGTTTTTGATGATGCATCAACAGACGCTGCTGTTTTCCTCGTTCCATGTTTTTTGGTCACGAACAAAAACCAGACTGCACCATGAACATTAATCTTTATTTCTTACCCGGAAAAACAGCTGGTCATAAATAGGAGTAGATTGGCTGTCTTAAATGTTTGAAATTAGAGCGTACAAAATCAACTCTGGAACGCAGACGTGGTCCAACTAGATAAGAGATTGCCAAAAGGTGTGTACTGTATTTACTTATTGAGCAATCCAGAAGGCGTGATACAGAATATTGGGGCAGTATAACCATCAAAACCGAGGCATAAAGAGTTTTGACGAGTGAGGACAGTACTCACTCATTTGAACTTGGCTACAAAAAGGTGACGAACAGTAAGTGAGGACAAGGTTTTGTTCATCGACATGCCATGCGGGCAAGGATTGGTCCGTTGCACGTCCTCAAGAAATGAAACTAACGCTCTTTCCACAAGGACAAACTGAAAATGAGCTGGAATGACCTGATTAGTGCGTAACAGACTCAGTCACCTTAAACAAGCTCAAGAGAAGACAATTTACATCCACCAATTGGTCATATAGTACGCAACAGCCGAACAATAATTGCCACGTTTAGATGGTCTCAAGATAACTCAGCTTCTGAAGCTATTGGCGCGATTACTGACGAGTAGTAAGCAGTTCCGATGTATTTCCGTGCATATGTAACCATATCCGGCTAAGTATTCCAGTCACAGTGGCTGAGTTGGGACTCAGTGACCTGAATTTTTTTGTGCTACTTAAGAATACCACCAGTAATTTTATTGGGGAAGAAGCTTCCTCATGCCTGCAGAATTTCCCCCTAAAGACGCATACGGGCTGCCAGGGGGGAGCAAGTGGGAAAAATCCTTGTGGTCAGACAGTTCTCCACTGAGTGTGATGTGAAAGCGCCTATTCCGGTGCCTTAAACATTATCACTAGGCTTATGATACACGCAAACCACTTCGCTACCAATATTGAAAATAGCGTCAGAGAGACAGTTTTCAAGGCCGCCTGGAGTATAGATCCCTTGAATGCCAGGTGGGCACACACAAGCCCCAGAACGAACACATCTGGCCGATTTAAAAGCTACCGACGTTGACGCGCCCGAGTAAACATTCGGATTGTTTGAAACTAGGACTCGAAGCCCAAATTGACATTATACCCGCTGACCGACCAGAATACCTACGAAGAGCGGAGACATGTAACAAACTCGAACTACAATTGTGCTAATGATTTCAGTAATAGTCTTTTAGCTGTAGCACTCATTCGGTGCCCAGCTGCTATGCCACTCAATGGAAGCACGAAGGCTAAAGTACTGCCAAGTCGCCCAGGCCTAGGTTAGAGCTGTCAAGGTGCCGAGGTTGGGTTCGAACCACGGACTTTCCGGTCAGTAAGTTCATCCTTTGACATTTAGAGCTATCCAAAGCTCACCGATGGATAAAACTTAATGGTTTCGATCATCTCTGACTAATCAGAGAGGTTCATTTGATCACCGGAACATCAGAGTATTTCAGTAGGTTGAGGTGGAAGAGTGGAGCTCCGCCAGTATGGCAGTGAAGTGTGGTCCTATTCATTCAGAATATGCTCTTCTAACAGAATGACGCGTAAAGGCTAGCATTCAGTGACCAAGCTCATTTGCGCTTTCTCAAAGAAGCAGTTTGCCCCAATGTAGGGGCACCGAGCGAAGTTGAACCACTTCCATGGTCGTAATACACTACTCATAACGTCGCTGAAAACTCTTCGACTGCCCACGACGGGTTTTGCTCTTCTCGGAGCTCATCAATTGGAAAAAAGGTTTCGAACCGACTGAGAAGTCAACGTTTCAGAAAGGCTTGGTAAACAATATGTAGTTTTTAATTGTCCAGATATCTGATTAGTAAATAATAGATTTTTCGATGAGAGAACTTTGCGCTCACTTGGAGCCTGGATATACCTCTGGACAGACTCGCTTTAATGATGGCTCTCCTGCTAGTGGTCTACACCTCTGTGAACCCAGTGTGTAACCTTCAGCATCCTCAGGTGACTATCCAAATTTCGCGCGCTTGAGGAAACGTTCTGTCGGCACCGAGTTGTGCGCACATACAAATCTGTCAGAAGTGATCTTAACCTTATTGTCAATCCTGGGATAACGTCCCTGTATATTATTCTACCAAGGAAAATTATCGATCCTAATTTTGATCGATACTAGGCCCTGCACGACTAAACGATGAGACTATGAGCAACCGGATCAGTATCCCATTTTGTTACTGCTGTCACGAATTGCCACTTATCTTTTCTGAATGTGCTCGAAATAGCTCAGTGGTTAAGGTGATGACCGGATGTTTCGTGGTCCGAACTAAACCTCTGCATTTCGAATGCCCCTGTCCAGGCTTTTGCAACTTGGCAGTGCCTTAGACCTTCCTGCCTTCGGGTGCCATGGCAGCTAGGCACTTGGAGAGTGCTACAGCTGAACGATTATTATCAATAATTATATTCATGAAGACAGCCAGCCTTAAACTACCTGGCCAGCCCAGCACAAGAATACGAGATAGTGGCATCCGATTCACCATTTCACGAGATTATCAATAATTATATTCATGAAGACAGCCTCAGTTAAACTACCTGGCCAGCCCAGCACAAGAATACGAGATAGTGGCATCCGATTCACCATTTCACGAGTTTGTATTGCAACAGTAAATCTCGTTTCGGCCAGTCAGGAAGCGACTGTGTTGATATAAGGGGCGCAAATTTCTATTTGCGCCCTGGTCCCAAACCTAATCCACTGATATTCTTCTGTCACAAGGTGGCGAGTTGAGTAAAATTTACTATCGCACTCAGATTACAGCCATTAAAACAGGGTTATTCCTTCCGCTCGAACGAAGTTGATCAGTTCGCATCAATTTCGTGAACAGTATTGGTAACGATCAATACTTCCCCCACATTGTCACAGGTTAGTGGCTCTGTGAACATGTTCACAAGCTGCGAACAATCCCTCAAAAACACCAAACTGTGGTCACGTCAAACGTGAAATGTGGCGCTGGGCTTCACAACCGATTAGGTTGACAAGAGATTGTTTTTGTGTTCACCTTGGTCCTGGTTCAGTCCTGTGTTTCAGGAAACGTCTTGAGAGACTCTGCAAGCAGTTCGGTGGACAATACGAGCAGCAGAGGTAGTCAGTGTATAGAGTGATCTGTTACTCACTCCGATCTGAAAATATACCTTTGTTACTTGAACAGGGTGACTGGAATGTCTTATTTTCCGAAGTTCCAAGATTACCATATGGCCACCTCTTATGAACGACAACGGGCCGAACCTAGCTCGGATGACCAAGTGTGAGACTGTGAACGATCTTTTCGACGGCCCACCTTCGAACCACTACAAACGCCTTTAACGTGGTTGCTGGTTCCGTCCTAATAATTTCCACACATGCTGTTTCAGCATCAAGGACATAGACAGCAACTCCACCATCTGCTTCATAATTTATGGGGTTATCGTAAACTGAACAAATCAAATTCAAAATCACGTAGAATACTTTTCTGATCATGACACCTCTTAACTCAACTGCGATTGCTGCGTTACTTATGTCACCAGAATCAATAAAAATCTGCGTGCACAAATTTCCGAGCAATAGCCGAAATGTTGGACTGAATCGCGCATGCTCACTGAATCGGTCGCGGGACACAATCAGTTTGCGGTTTATCAGGTTGATTTCAACAATTTAGTTATAATCAAAAGCTAACCTGAATCCTTCATCGGTGAAACGAATTACTCACAAGGTTGCCGAAAACTTCTAGCAAATGATTTAATTTCAACAATCCAAGTCTTCTTGATTCCGATAGTTAATGATGACAACCTGGTACCGTGAAAGACCGTACGCACAAAATTGCTGAGGGAACAGACAAGCGTCCAACCAAATCAGTGGCTGAATTCGATCGCCTTGTATGGCCTTACTGACTTCTAACCATTTCCATGTCACACGTTACCTGAATGCTTTCAGCGCTAAAGATTATGAAGGCAAAGATGCGGTACTCCTTGACAAATTACTTCGGTGTTCAAGAGGAACTCGTGTACGATGCTATTCAACTGAATGTGCTGCGTACTATTCGCATCATGTCCAAGTTGACACTGTATTCAAGATACCGTAGTGTACTTTCCCAACATAACTCATTGGTTAAAAGTTTCCTGAAACCCCTTGATATCCCACTGCCGTTCTGGCTCTTCTTAATATCAGTTAGGTAGGTGCAGTCCCCGAGTTCCTATCAGCCCCACATTCCACCGCAACACCAAAGTGTATGCAACCAGCGTAATACACTCATTTGCAAATTACTATGGAGACCCAACTGAATGTTTCATTTGTCATATTCTTCAGCTTCGTGCAGTACATTCAGTTGAAAAGAATATCGTGGCCTGGGGATTCATCTGAGTCTCTTCCAAACAATTTTGTAATTTCTCAAAGTGCGTATTCTGCCAAATGCGCGCAAACGGTCGGTAAAGTAGGAAACCATGTTGATAGAAACTCACAGCCTAAGCCTGCCTGATTTACCCCAAGAAGGGGGAACCTGAGCTATCGTAAAGTTTGGAATGGACTTATAAGTAGTGAAAACATTAGGCTGACTTTCTCCACTTCAACCATCCTGCTTTCAGTGATAGTCACTTATCCAACGAAACCCCTCAACTGAGAGCATCTACGAGGAGGTACCGAATTGTGTCTAATCGCGCCCCCTCTCATCTCAGCATGGTCAGGGGCGGATGACTTCGGAAACAAGCAAATAATTCCATGTAAACTGTTGCTATTTTGCTTGTGTTCAGGAAGCTCTATTCACTGCTTCTCGTGTCGCCGGTGTTTTCAACAAAGAGAAAGGCGCCATAACTCGGTTGCCGTCTGTCATGTGGGGCTGGCCAAACCCTGATCCCAAACCAACAACAAATCAGCTTCTTAGGAGTTGGCGGATAAAGCCACCTGAATCCAACGGCTATGTTGTCATTGCTGGTCATCTGTTCTCTGTAGGTGTGCTGCTGCCTTTCAGGACTGCGCAAAGGTAGAGGTGCTGAGGAAGCAATCAGTAACAGGTCTCACGGAACTCTAATGATAACGTTTTCAACATGTAATTCGTTCATGCTGCGGCATCCCCGGAAAGCAAAGTACCCTTTTCTAACCCAGCAGCTAGAGTGACCAAAAACAAGTTGGGGTACTCAACGTAAGAAGGAAACTCTTCATCAGTTGTTAGAATGTTCATACCATACCTGACGTTTCCGTTAAAGGATCCGCATGCACACTATTCAGGACCGTCTGTTAAATATCAGTCGTCTTTCGAATACCCGGAGTCCGGTACGTGACGAATTCAGATTCCCCGATCAGACACTTTATACCGGCTTTACCACAACGAACCAGCGGACAATTCAGACCCCCATGGTGGTACAATTGCTGCATGTAGCCGAGCTAACAGTCTGCTGATTGCCTGAAACCTAGTATACCGAAGAGTTGTGGTGGCTCATTCCAAAGGGACCTCATGCTTCAGATTCTCACAGACGGGAGTATGAAGTGAAGTCACGAGACATAAGAATTGTACTTTGAAACTTTTCAAACGTTGGTCACGTTGCATGTTATGTTCAGCATTTGCTCTACGCAAACGTTTGTTCACGGCAACCTTCATTGTCTCATGAATTGTCTGAGGTGCAGTAGTTGTTAGCATCGTCGTCACTAGTTCCGGCTCTTGATATCCCACATTCAGCTCATCGTAACCAACAGAAAAGGTGATCAGTTTTTTCTTCACACCCGTGGTGCATTATCGAAAGTCAGCAGTGCTTCTAACAGATTGAGGGGCCCTCCCCTTCAGGCAGCATATACCTCCAGTGATTGTGGAAAGCATAAACTGGTAAACAGGTGATCAATGGAGCGTTAATGCGCGCCCCACTCCAACTCATCCATCCAGTCCATTCATCGATCACACAGAAAAGGATGAGAGCCGAACTCAACGGTATGCAGATCTCTGCTGTATCAGCTGTACCTCCTCACCATGGCAGAATTACAGCGGAACTCGAAGAAAAAATGCTGTAATCAACGGTACACGTTAGACACGCACAGCCTAACTGATGCACGTTCAGGGCAGTAAGATCTCGTGGGCTCATCCGACATGAGTTCAACAATAAGTGAATCAAGGTAAACGCTGCACACACTCAGTTGTTCGACGTCAAGTGTTTTTGTCCCTTTGTAGCCGGGTAACATTTCAGGATGAATAGTTCAAGTTTGTTGATGGCTGAAGCCACCGTGATTGGTGCTGTGACGGATCACAACAATGAGTTGGCTAAAATAAGTGAGTCACTTATGGCTTCATAAGTGGCTTTCATGGAATCTAAAGAGTCATTCATAAGGTTATTATTGTTTCATACTTCCGAAACTCGGCACCTCCGACCCCGTGACAGTGAACGTCCAGAAATTTTATTACTATTATATTTTCAGCATTGCAGGTGTTAGCCGGTTGCAAATTGTCCAAAAGAAGCAAACTTATGTTTGTGAGTATTTGGTTATGAGTTCCGGACCAGTACACAAAAGTATCGAGTTAAGTTGGTTGAACAATGAAATTTGCCCGTCTTATCAAAGCTAACCAAATGATAAGTTGTTTTCTAATCCTACATTTTTACTGGCGTACAGTTCACGGAAGACATGACAACACGAAATGAAAGCAGCCATAGTCAGACTGAATGCCTTAAAACCTCTGCGTCTTCTCGGCTGAAATCCGAGTGATTGGGGTCGCACGTCGCCGGATACCTTGCCGGACACAATACGTAACCAATTCCACTGGTGTGTACACTGAAAATTCCTATCCGGAATGATCAATTTTCAGTCGTTGTGTGCCGGATTAGTTTTGGACGTAGTTCGCAACAGATATATCGACCAATACGATACTTAGATCAACCTATTTCAATACGCAGATACCATACTCTCAATCGTTTACCTAGGGATTTATGTTCCCGCACGGAGAAATAAGCGCGATGCCCAGTGTGGTCCGTTGTAGCTCAGCGATTGGTTACTCTAGTTTTAGAAAAAAACAGCCTCATATGTTTCGAATGACTTCCAACGAAAATTATGTGGTACAATACCTCACGTTACTACATTTTGCGGAATATTTGTCATAACACTTATCAGGCGAAATTCGAGTTCATGAATTGATCAACAGCACGGCTGTGGTACATTCTTTTACAGCATGGATGACTGAACAATTCCACGCATCAAACAATAACATGGGTCGCTGAGTACACACGACGTTCAATCCCAATCGGATGCTGAATTGGTCCAATAATGGAATTCTGCAAGGATGGCAGTTGGTTGTCAACTGGTTTTAAGTGAGAACATTCTCCCAATGGTCGTAGTCCCCATGATGCTGCGGCGTGTCCATTGTCAAACCGTATTGCAGTCAAAGTTAATGCCACCATCATTTCTTGATTGGAATTTTTGTAAACGACCGTGAGGAACCAGTGCGTTCGTGGTGTAGTCAATTTCTGTCTCAGAGATAAAAAAAAAACAAGGAGATGGTGCGACTCAGAAACGAACTCGGTACTGAACTGATCTGGGTGAAACTATCAGGAAGGTCAGCTTCCTGGAAGCAACCACTGAATGCCCGGAACCTACGGCGACTCTCAGCTCCGCTGGGTGTTGACCAGACAGACAACGCCTCCTCAATATGCAGCGCGTCACAGCGTTGCATCAAACCCAGACAGAGCGAGTCAGCGTTGATCAAGGACAGGCAACGCCTCCGCAATATGCAGCACGTCGCTGCCTCGTACTAAAGCCAGACCGCGTGCGTCAGCATTGAACCAAGTTCAGTGTCCTTCCAATAAAAAGCTTCAGGACGTTGTACTTTTCGCACTCGCACGCACTCGCGCTCTCGCAACCACTTTGTTGGAATATAGCTACTGTGTTCCCTTCTGTGAGTCTTCTCTCCGACACTAGGCACTGGAGCGGGTCAGTAGCAGATACCACAGGCCGGCGAATCAGCAGATATAACAGAAACTTAACCAGAGACCGAACATCGTGGAAGGGGAAGTGGTAATGAACCGGTATCTCATCTGCAAGAGGAGCTATAGTCACATGAAATCCAGGAGTACTGAAAATACGTCCATAGTGATTTTAATGGTAGTTCGAAAAGTCTGCTATATGGAAACAGGATGTAAGCTCTGATGCAGTATTCAGCCTTACGTGATCATATTCAGCGTTCCCTGTTCACTTGAAGCCTGATGCCCTAGCGAATAAGTGAGAGGGAATTCCGAAAGCGTCCTTTTCATGTGGAGTGTGCCTGAGTGATTTTAATTCCAAGGAAACGACCTTCACTCCTTCCTGAGACATGCCATCCCGAGAGTGCAGAAGAAAAATTGCTCCGCAAGATCAAATAATCTAAGGCAACGGCTGCTGGTTGAAGACGGAAGTCTGCTACAACATCAGTGTTGAAAAACGCACCTCACTGCGCGTTTCAGTTCTGTTGATCGAATGGATGTTCATATCAATCACCGGGTGGCATCATACATGTCTGGACATCACGTATTCAATTACTGAGAGTTCCGAACAAAAATGAGAGAGTTGTAGGCGGAGAACGTAACTTACGATAATGTGGGCCAGTTTCTATGGTTCATATCGTTGCGTGGCCATGTCCCAATGTTGTTGCAATCGATATGGGCTGTCCCAAATCCACCACCCGATCGACTGTATTTCGGCCACACATTGTTATTTTGGAGGCGTAAAAGCCCAGCCAGACAACCAAATTTGACGAAACGAGCACTATAGAATTAACCGGACAAGTCAAACAAATCGCAACGGGACACGTGCGTCGGGTGTTGCATTCTGAATTTAAGCAAACGGATGGTTGCACTAGACATATATAACACTGAAACGATTTTAATAACTTGAAACCTGCAGAGCAGCTAATCGGGAACTTTCCATGACCAGCGGTATATTTGTTCTCAGTCCTATTTGGTAGAATCAAACAGCTTTTAGGACATAGCACAAAGAGGCAGTGTACTCCTAGTTTTGGATACCCTTTCTTGATGTTGAGTTCGGTTAATCACTTATACTGGTGTCTACCTTGAATAGTCGGAGCTTAACCGAATATCGGCACATCAGTATCAGGGGAATTTAAGCCAACAAATAAGTTTTCAGGGACGTCTCCTTAGGCTTCCATTCTAGCTTATATTAGACAAACACTCATACGTAACGGTATAATAGTCAGCGGAAAAGGGAGTCGTAGTGAGGCATACGTTGTTTCGCCAAGATAGTGGGATTATCTGTAGAGGTTTTGAGAAAACCGGGTTAGCTCAACTACCATCGCGCCCAGCCGAAACTGAAGAGCAACTAGATCGTCACCCAGGTGAACTTGTAAAGTCTGTGGCGCGAGATGTCAAACAGGTTAAATATAATATAGGCAAATGTTCCTGGAACAAAGTAAAGTTGTCCAAATGTGGTGATCTCGGTAGTTTTCACAATACTGGTCCTCATTGTTCCCGGCTGGTTTCTCCAATCTTGTCTAATTGGATGGAAGGCCGTCGAAACCCGGAGTTGGTGGTCATGTTTGAGCGATATGCACCTAGAGCACAGTTGATCCACTGTGACACTATCAGCAGTCCATGAGTAGTGATGCTCACGTGTACAATTGGAATTATCTAGTCGTGCGGTTTGTGTAACTGCTACCGATTGAAGACACCCACGGAAGTTATGATGAGGACGAAGATGTTAAAGATTAGATTCGAATGAATTCAGTTGAGTCTCCCGTCAAAACGAAATTTGTCGGAAAATGAGAGTTTTTGGCGAATTCCGTCCAATGTGGAGCTCAGTAGAACACAAGACTGACAGAAACTCGGATATTGCACTTACCTAATGAGCCCAAGGAAGGGCGGAACAGCTCGTGTACTGTCGAAGAGTTCTCAGCAGCTTTATGAGTGGTGTGTTGCGAACAACTGTTTTCTGTTTTGGTCATTTTGACTAATACACCACGTGTATAGTTAGGCACACCCATGAATAAATGCGTAAAGGAAGGGCAAGAGACACGGATCAACGGGCCACTGAGTCAAGCTGATTATGTCAGCTGGACTGGATCGGTGAAGTGGTATAATCCGTAGGGTTCAACATAAGTTCAAACCCTGTGCGAGTTTCTTTTGGGCAAAAATGTCTGGATCACGCAACCGGATTGCAGTAATTATTGCGACTGGTAAAAACCGGAATCGTTATCTCCGTGGTCGGTTCAGGGGTACCTCATACACGATCTGGACTGTTGTTCTATGGCACTTGCGGTCTCAACGAGAGGTCTTCTGATTGGTTCGTATTTCTTTTATTCATGGAAGCGGAGCTGTGTTGTAGCATCCGATTTCCGGTTACTATCATATAAATTTGATGTACTAGCAGACAGGATCAAACACAGAAAAATCTTTGTTCGCTGAAATCGTTCTTATCAGAAATTCAGTCGCTTGCAACAATCCAATGACTAATGTGTGTTTACCCAATTTCAGAAGCGCGAAAATCCGGGAGCAACTTCCATTTTCTCAATCAATATGGCAAGCGGATCATTTTCGTAAGCACTGTTATCGAATTCTGCGCAGAAATATGACCGTTCCCAGGCCAAATGCACGCAGCTACCACACGAGATACGTAAGCTCAGTGGTAAGTGAGTTAGAAACACTGTCCGGGGAGGAATAAAAACTTGCCAGAGAGCTCAACCCTTTTGCATCGTGGGTGAAGATCCCTACCAATCCATAAACCCGACTTGGGATGGATGGTACATTTTTGAAGGCTACAACATTAGCCCTAAATTTTGTTGTCCTTGTCGTAAGTGTTGCCAACATGAAATTCACGTCCTACCATCTAGGTCATAGAGTGTCACCGGACTTGTTTTACAGGATGAATCTGACCAAATTATAAGACGAATAACACCTTGTCTGATGAATTCCAATTCAATGAAAAGCAAAAGAAAGAAGGACACATAAGATAGAAGATAGTTGTATCCGAGATACTGCAACGTTTGAAACGAACAGGAAGCATCAGTGCTAAAGCTTTGGTTATATTTGGTGCACCGGTACAATACTTCAACTATATGACCTCTAAAATACATGAATCCAGTCTGACTTTCGGGCCCATCCACCTCACGCGTGCAATGCGCAGCTACTTACCCCCCAATCATCGGTGAACGAAACTGTGGCAGCTACAACCAGTGTACGACCAGTACGCGGTTATTACAGCTGACAATGATGATGATGATGTTCGGTTTTCCGTGCCATACTCTCGCCAGAATTCTAGGGCCAAACGGAAGAAAAGTGTCAACATCATGTCTCACAGACGCTCTCAAGTTCATCGATCAGCTTAGAGATCAGAAGTTGACGATTAACATGTGTTCTGCCCTCATGCTGTATCCTTATTTACTTACGTACGACTCACTGAGAAAACTCACCAAGTCTACGATTTGAGTGAACAAGGTGGCTGGGATATCCACATGCCTATACCGAACCTGAATGGGTTGTTGCCTCTTTGTACGTACAGCGCTCAAATCACCTTTACTAACAATATCTACCTTAAACTGGAACAAGGCAGTCAACTGAAACTTCTCAATGATGAGGGGATAGAGCCGATGAGAACATGCACCGGAAAGCCTTCCTATAACGAAACCGAAACCTAATCAGGCGTCTGACTGAAAGAGCAGTGAAGATCCCTCGACTGTCTACACGATGAACCGAATTTTTTAGAATAGGTATTTTCGCAAAGCGGGTATCCAACACGGTTCACGGTCACAAGACAGAATACCAAGCAATATGCGGCTGATAAACCATGTCTATAACAAACTTCTATTCAAAATATACTACCTCTATATAACTGTATTGACACGGTCTCCAACCCATCATTCTAAAACATATATTACCAATTTCCACCACCAACTTCTGTGATTATTCATTTGTATGTTTGTGCCGAACATCATGCGTCCGTGGTGGGACAGAGGACTTATCAAACAGGATTCTGAATGGTGGTTGGAAGAAGACAAACCCGAAAACAATCGCATTGCATCTGTTCGAAACCACCCATACCACAGAACAAGGAAGCATCTTACAAGCCTCATATCGGGTATTCCTGAACCGGTCACGGACACTACGATTCAGACTGTTAGCAACCGCATGGACTACTGAAATCCATTGTATAACCCATATATCCGCGTTATATTGGTCTATGAGCTATTCCTTTTCCCCAACCCAGTCTGTGACGTAATCGGTCTGGTCGAGTAAATCACTGGCGTAATCCGCCATTCTCGGCGATCGATTGAGCCATGTACCTCTTTCTCCCAATTTCCACATTTACTCATGGATACGCACGATCAAACACGCCGTTTCTGACTAGAACTAAATAAATTTGTGATCTGTTGGGCCAAGACGACCGACCACAGAAATGCAGAAATAGTTCATGCCAGTGCTTATGTGAAACTGAATTTCCTAATATTACTGATACAATGGGAACAAATTAAAACGATTGCTGTACAAGCTACATAGGTCATATGACCAGACGCTTATCTGACCGTGTATGTGAGCAATATTCATCAAGAATTGGTGATGGTTTCACATGAACCATCACAAGTATACGTCTACCTGAATCCGAGTTTCGGAGGCTTACTATCCAATCTGTCGATCTCAAGGCAACCAAACAAACTACCCGTAAAATTAGGATGGAAGTTGAACCTATCCTAGAAGGGATAACACAATGGACAAAAAATCGTGCTAATTTTGTCCCACGTCGGTCAATCAGCAACCGAAGTGCACAGTCGAGGGTGGACTCAGGCTACGGTGATCCAGTCAGCAAGATACGTTTGTCTTGGTTAGCAATGTAGTTAAAACAATCGGAACATTTGAAATAGCAGTCGACTGACGAAAGCCACTGCGGCACAAATGAGGAAATGGACCAGTGACGGTCAAGTACATTCGAACAACCAAATTCAGCATTCAGAACAATGGACAACAGTGCTTCCCTAATAAACCGAGATCCCCTGAAGCGAACTGAAGCCTTCCTCTTGACTGTTTTCCGGAATCGCGGCATAGTATCAGGAGAAAAACCCGATTCATGATCTCAAGAAATAGAATAAACCCAATGAATAGCATTGGGTTTCCAGAGACTGGCGGCTTTCAAAACGAACAAACAAAAAGATTCCTGCTATGTTAAAGAGGACGTCAAATCGCTGTTTCGGCACGCAGTAAGTGGGGTGACGATAGATTCGTTGAAAGGACGGAAGATCTGAGTGACAAAGTCACACTTATCACCAAGTTTGAGTTGTGTTTGCAGCAAATCAACGGAACTCAGGAACGATTCCATTTCTTTCAGCTACATAGAAGCCAGACGAATCTGTCAGTCAATACGTCCTCGCGCTAAAAGACACGGCCAAATCGTGCAACTTTGCGAATGAATTTTGACAGCTCGAAGAGTGGTGGAGTAGGCCTCGGCATCCAAGACGAAAAGATCACCAGAGGGCCACCCGAATGACACTAGTTGTTTTTGGATCGACGCATCAACACATGCCACTGTGAATCTTCGGCTCTGGGCCATGTCATGTTGGACGCCCCATGATCCCTGCGCGGACTCAAACTAAAGCCAGCTTATCACCGGTAGATACCACTGCTGCCGTAGCTTTAATTTTGCCGGAAACCCAATAGTCTCACCTTAAGCGTTAAATGCAACTGGACAAAGGAAAGAAAGCGTTCAACTGTAGCACCCTTCCGTGCCTAGCTGCCATGCCACCCGAAGGAAGCACTAGGGCTGGGATACTGCCAGGTTGCCCAAGCCTAGACAGAGGAATTCGAGTGGCGGAGGTCAAATTCGAACCACGGACCTTCCGGTCAGTAAATTCGCGCTCTAACCACTTGGGCCATCTCGCCCCCAACTGGACAACGGGTAGGCCTAAGTAAACTGCGGTAAAGTTGAATGTCAGGGTCAGTTGTGTGTACTGATCCTAAGCCATTGAATATTGTCTCACGACAACAGCATTAACGAATCCCCGCGGCAGATTACTCTCTACCAGAACTGAACGGAGCGAGTTTCTTCACGACGACAGATCTGTCCTCGGCACTTTGACAAGTGAAAACCAATGAAGAGCACAGCTAACTGACAGTCTTCGGTACATCGTTTGGGCGAATGAGTTGGCTGTACTTGCCCTTACGGTTCAAGGAATCCAGTAATAACTTTCCACAAGGAGCTGATTCAAATTCCGAACAAAGTACCGACGTAACTGACGGTGTTCTAATACACAACGAACATGGCTGGAATTGGGAGCGATTCTATGGGCGCTACACTGAGCAACACTTAATGAAGAAAGTGGAGTACCACGTGAATACTGTTGCTTTTCACAGATATCTCTCGTACTTGCCGGTTTAACAGCACATACAGGAGAATTGGAGTGATCGAGTCTATGCTAACTCCGAAGGATCCAGAGGCCGGAAAAGGAGTAAATTGGATAGTTAGTTGATTAATTCGTTTTCTCCCAGGCCTAGCTGATCCAATGAGCCCACCCAAGAACAAATAGACAAATGGGTTACGGGGTGTTCGGAAGCAGGCGCAGTCCCCGAGTTCCACTTGAAACCAAATTGCACGAAATTAGCGAAATACACTCATTTGCGTCTATACATGCGTCGCGATATTCGAATAGCGTACCAACTGAAACACGCATGAGGCAGGTTGATGCAGCACATCCGGTCGCCTGGAAACATCAAAACAAAGAGAGTCAGTCGGGTTCCAGGTGAGTCTCTCGCAAAACCAACTTTGTTTGCAAATGACTGTATTTCGCTAATGTGCGCTGTTGAGTGGGTATTACTCAACAGCCAATAATCACACCCGAGCAACCAGCATTTCGACAAATTTCCTAAATGACCTGAAACGGTGCTTATGTAGGGAGAAAAAATTGGTCTCACCAGTGTGCATATCAAAAAGATCTTAATTGTATTCTCCCCTCTTGGACGATTTCTTTCAGTAGGAAAATCAATATGCTTATCGAACATAAGCATTTGTTTACATAATCAGCGACCTACTAAACGAACAGCCAAAACGAGCTACACTCGCTTTCATAGTAAGTTGGTGTTAACAGGAGACTAAGCTGAATCCCTCGTTTATGATACTCTCGAAGTGAATGCCTGCACAAAGACCGTCTCATGTTTCATTTAGTACGACATTCGAGATATCGCTGTACATTTTCATGAAGGAAACTACTCACAAGCAGAGCATAAGGTCAACTAGAACTCGGGAAGTGTGCTTACCTGGTGAGCCTAAAATGGTCGTTGACTGTAGGAATTTTTAACAAGCATTTGAGGGCGCGTTTAGTCAAGAACACCCGAAACGTTTGCAGGGAATGCTGATCAGATTACGGGTTATTTGGACAACCAGGAACGCAATCCACTACCAGCACACATACTTGATCAAGGATAGTAGAAAAGCAGCAGCCGAGTTCATCCTCGTTTCTAAGATCGACTCAGATTGCGGGAGATAAAAAAACAACCGGGTCTGCTTCTATTGTGAAGGCGCTGACCAAACTTTACAAATGGCTGGTTAAGAAATTAAACGTAAGCACTAGAAATTTATCCACAGATGCCACGACCATATCTGTATCGAACACGTGCTAATAAGGTCGATCTCGTGGTGACACCAACAGATTTGGGACTATATTTGATACACGAAGGATAGTGGGCACACTCCGGTATTACCAGTAGCATCCGCAGAACTCTGAAACCATTTACTGGCCGGGTAGAACTTACCAAAGGATACAAGGGATGCAAACAAAGAATACACGAAAGCACATGACCAGAAGTCACAGCAAGACAACGACTTGACGCGATATGTTAACTCAGTCCTGTAAAATGGTCATAGTAGGTCCGTTTGCGCACGCTGAGGAATAACAACTCATTACAGCCAATCACTACAGTTACTAAGTTCGGTCTAAGGTGCTGTCAGCCGTCAGCACAACAACCATAGCCAAACGGATGTGTTCACAGTGTACAGGTCACCGTATATCCGACTTATGGTACTCAGTTAACGGGTTGCACTCTACAAGCGGAGAGTTTCAAAAGTTCGATCGGGAGGGAAGATTTGAGCACCGTACTAGCAGCCCGTACCATGACCAATTAAGTAGCAAAACAACGCACAATCTAGACCACAGTCATCCAGTCAGCAAAGTTGGGTAACGACAGCCGTTGCAGAATTAATGGGTCATCGAATAACCATCACAGAGCTTGGAAGGGTGGCAAAAAAGACTGTTCATAAAATAAGAACCCCCATGAGAACTAAGTGATATCCGGACGCAAGAATAAAAGTTTACTCACGACCGAAGTCATCGTAATTGGAATTACTGATAATCCTCCGTGCACAGGAACAAATGAAGGCACGATTTGAATTGGCCAACACCCTGTCTCACAAACTGTTCATAACCCCCACATCTGTGACGACGTAGTTGATCTACAATTTCCCATATGCACGATGACCCGATTGTCCCAACCGTTTTGTGGACACTTACACAAAACTCTCCGTTAACTTTTGTATCGTCACAGTGAATCAATTAGTTTCACTTTCATTTTACGCAACACAAATAGTGTGTTGCGTAAAGAGAGGCTTTGTTGTAGGCTACATTCCGTTACTTCGTGATGCTACGCCGTAAAATGAGCAATGGTTTGGAAAAGTTGGCATAATGAGCTACCTTGTGTCAACTAAGAAAACTTTGGGATCATTCGATTGATCGCACAATGACATTTGTTCGGATAGTTTGGAACAATAGGCACCTTTCGACAAAAACTCCTTGAATTGTCCAACAGTAGCCTATCTGAGGAAATTTGCGCGGGTATCGCTGGAAATATTGGACTGATAATTCTGCGAGGCGCAGAATCATTTTCGAAGGGTAGACGAGCTGTCTCTGTCACACAATTTGAATGCTTCTCAGAGCCCTAACACCCAACTGAACACAGTACAAAAACTGCCTAGAAGGGGTTAGGTTGTGACCTATCAACGAACCAAGAAAAACATAACCGCTCTGACAACTACCGCCACCCCGAAACAAACCATATCAACGCTTAGGGACGCTGACAAGCGTGGGTCAGTAGAGACCACTGGTGTTTATTTAACGATGGCCACATCAGACCCTGCAAACAGCACAACATGGCCGTAAATAATGTACCATCCTCATTGCGTTCACATTACAGTAGTTTGAACAGTCACTCAGATTCACAGTCTTTTCTTCCCAATCTGTTCTTCATCGCAAAGCAGAAATACTGTGCAGCATGTACAAGTTTTATAGATGACGGTGATGAGCAGAGCCAAATTGCTGAAACCATGAGTTGACATACGGCAGGTACATCCACCAAAATCTTGGGACTATCGGTAGGGACAGAAATGTGATAAGTCGACCCAAAATAATGGCTCTGTTGAAGAACCTAGCGCATTCTGAATAGGCTGGGGATGAAAGCCTACTACTAAAAGACGGAAATAAGGTCACCGAAAAAGTGTTCAGTCGACTGGCAAAACGAAAATAAAAAGACCATATACAAAGGGAATGGTAGGGACCTATTCCTTCCATTCGGCAATCACAAGAGTCCCGTTAGTTCCGCCGAAACCAAAAGAATTGGTTAGAGCAACTCGGCGACAGGTGCTACCAGAATTGCTCAGTGGAACAGAAGGCTCCTTATGTTTTGGCAATCGAAGACGCTTCTCGAAGGCATCTAAAGCCTTCTTCGTGTCGGCAGAGTCAGAGTTCGCGGACAGGACTCGCTCCAGTTCAGATGCCGAGATAGGAGAGTGAAGGTTGCAGTTGCTTACTGCGAGGTTCCGATTTACCGCCAGTGCAGTGTAAACAGACTCGATTGCACCAGCTGCTCCCAGTAAGTGTCCGGTATGACCTTTGATTGAATTGACGATGATCGGGTTAGGCCGATCATGACTAGCATTGTGACTTGCCAACAAACGACAAATGGCGGCTAATTCAATTGTGTCACCGAGAGGAGTTGAGGTTGCATGACAATTGATGTGATCAATCTAAGAGAGGGTTGATGAAGAGAGAAACAAGGATGGTTGCGAGGGCCCACACACAACACTTGTAGACACAACGAAATGGTAAAAGGCTGACTGCTCAGAATGTGAGAAATACTAGACAATGGCTCAGATCCACAACAATAACTGGTATTGCTTTGTACGAGGGATGAACTGTGCTCAATAAGATCTTGAGATATCGTCAACACTATACAGAGTAGAAACCAGAGATGCACTTTGGGCTCCTGATAAAGAACTACGTCAAAAATATAACGTGATTCTCACAACCTTGTGGATGGTGATAACTAATTCGGAATTTCTTGGACTGAACAGCCAGTAGATTCCTCAGAGCTTCCAGCACCCCTTTTTCTCGTCACTTTCCTAGCTACGTAGTTATGGGGATACAATGCCTAAAAAATCATGAGCTCCTTAGTAGAAAAACAGTATTTGGTCGAGTCTGACACACTCAGACCTTCTTAACAAGCCTTCGGCCAACAGCCTGAATCCAAACTTCAAAAAACTTATTGGGAGATTCCTGCGTGGTGCTAACTACGAGTACCAATGGATGGGATTCTCCCGGCTCAGTGTTGGAATTCACCCACGATCGAGCCAAGGGAGTAAGCTTCCAATTTGGCCGATCAGCAAGATTCTTTTCGATTAACAAACTACATCAGTGTTGAGGGGCGGTCAAAGGATCTTGTCTGTTGACATGAGTGTCCAAGTCTTATGGCCGCTGGGTTAGGGGGATCTCAAATCACTGATTGGGTTTGGGTCCCTGATCTTCCCGTTCGAGGCACTTAAGTTGATGATTCCTACCGGGAGTCACTAATAACTTCTGTGTGACTGTGTAGGTTTATGAGTGCTACGGCAATTTGGTTAGGAGGAAGAGTGAGATCAAGTGAACGTTTGGTCATCTTGGGTTATACTACTTTTGTTGACTCCTCTTCAATGATAACCGCATACCTCCACGTCACAGCTCGACTGATCTACCACCGTTCTCCGCACGTTTACCTGACGAAGCTTTTGTGTCAAAAGCGAAACAGTACACAGTCACAGACCCATCGGTTGTCTATCAAAACCTTCATCGAAGCCCTTTTCTTCAAATCAGACACTTCGCCATTCAAACATCCATGTCATGGTACTATCGTCAGAATTTCCTCCTCTTCATTTCCCTCCAAGAACATCTTGATTTGTATTTCAAATAACCTCCAACCTATTAAAAACTGAATTAACGTCCGCCTCAACCCACCCTGAGGTTTTTACAAGCTCATGTGCGTTTCTGCTGTTTTTATCACTTTATCGAAGGACCTCGGAGCACAGTTTCTCCTTTCTTCCATATATGCGCATCACCAGGCGCAATATCACTATACAGTGTCAAGACCCTGTTGATCGCTTGTATTGCTTACAGAGTTTACCAGTACATCGTGTAGCTGTTGGGAAAGGAATTGAGAAACGAAGCCAGGCGCGCCAACCGAGGAACTAAATTGGATGTGCCTGAAAACAGCATGCCATCCCTACAATTACTTCCCGAATATCTCACCTACGTACGGGATCACCAAGAACTGTGGGTTATATCGCGTACTTTTAGGCCCAGAGCTAATAAAAAAACACCAGGAACACAACACACTGGCACCTAGCACAGCCGCTCCTGAAACACCAACTCGAATTTAGTAGTACGAAGTTGTGTCAGCTGCTGAGGAAATTTCACACTGGGGCTCAAGACAAAGCAAGATGCAACTTAACTTGGGTATTCTAAGGGGCATGTGAGAATAGCTCAGCGCTTGGATGATAGATACTATTATTGCAAAAAAACGAGCTATTTGTAAAGGTTAGCTGAATGATATTCAGTTCAGTCCACCAACATGATTATGGCGGTAATTTGACCTATCTTCGGTTCTAGCATCCACTTGGCAGTGAATCAACTACGGTACCCAACACAGGCTTACTCAAGGGCTTTTTCGGTTAAAGTCGACCGGGCTATTTGTGCAAAACACGCCAAACGACATATAACATAAATGTAGACTACAACAGAAACACGCATAATCCTATATCATTGTCAGTATTTGTCATTAAGCAGCTTATCAAACAAATATGCAGAGAGAATTCACGTCACCCGTAAACTGACAAACTAATCATGAAGCAGTGAGATTAATCGTTTCCTGTAGAGATGATGCATTCAGGACAAATATTACTAACCAATGTTTGCTACCATGGAGGCCAATCGCCTACTCCTACACGTATGCCAACAAACGAAAACGATAAACAAATAAACGAGTGAACTTCCCATACCGATCAGCTTACCTGATCCAGACTATCCAGTTGCGCATCATGAAGTGCTGCTTGCATACTCCTTAGAGCTCCGTCCCCGATAGGGTCTGGTGCGACCAAATTGTGTGCGTCAGCTGCGCAAAGCAGAAATAGAAACAACAAAAACAACGGTTGAATCAACAAATGACCAACACTTCCATGCGCGTGTGCAAATCATGTGTCCGCGAGTGCATCGAGAGGAACAGGGAGGTAGACAGGCAACTAGACAGTGAGAAAATCGGTAAACGCATTCATTCATTCGATGCACATAAATCATCAAATACGACGGACGGTCACAACTGTCCTGGCCTTGTAGACAAAAACAAGTTGGGCAATGGGAAAAGCAAGTGGGAGGATAATAGTATAGCAGCCGACTCTCAAGGTTGACGAGGACTAAGAGACTGTTGGTATCCTGCCCCTAGGACAAAACATCAGAATTTTATTGGGCGACAAGTTTAAAGTGAAGCTGTCTTCCCAGAAAGGAAATCGAAGACCGTTTGCACCAAGCCGGTGTCCGCTCTTTGGGAGGGCATGACATGGCCGACTTTTGGCCTTCAGAAAACACGCATTTATTTACTGAAATAGCCTTTTGAGATACGCTATTTGTGTCCCAGTTCCCACTTAAGGGAATCCAAACGTACGGGAACCTTCGAAAATCAGCACGCTGCCACAGAAAAGACACTCATGCGACCTGGAGGCTGATAAAAAAGATGCGACTGGTCAAAATAATTGTTAGTTATCAACTTGTACATGTGTGCACAACAATAATCCTGCCTAGAGTTTGAAGGATGGACAAAAAACTACAATTTCAAGAGAGGGAATGATCGTCATATGGGTATCATACTCGAAATTTCCTACTGGAAATGAGACAGCAGTGGTTTCAACACATTATGAGAGCGATTGGTGGGTGCTATGGCCTGCACGTGTATGTATGTATTAATGTATGTTTTTATGCAGGGTAAAGATAAAAATTACACCATTTCATCCAGTTCGACGACTAAATTGCTCGGCCCTCTGGTTCAAACCTCTCACAATAAGATGGTGACTCTGGTCGTAACTATCATCGCAGCCCGCGGTATTCCTGAATCAAGACTGTCGCTTTCAAAGCGTAGCCTCCCAGTTTACCGAACTAACTAATCATGTCAACGCATCCAACGCTTGGCTATATCTCCCATAACCTCCCGTTTTCCGGTGACCAAAATAAAACGGCTAAGACCAACGTACCTTTGGTGCATAGTTTATAGTTGGTAAACTGAACTGAACTGAACTGAACTCAGAGTCTTTCGTGCCATTCCAACTTCCACTGTACCAGTCTTTCTTGGTTCGCGAACAAGTTGTGGTCGTGACTAGAGTTCAATTGGTAACTTGTTCTCTCCGAATTACAGTAACGTTTATTTAACAATGTGCAGGTTGGAGGATTGTTTTTCTGATCCGCTCGCCTAAAGAGGAAAATCAGTTGCAAACGTTTCTTTAAGGTGACATCAACATCGCGTATAGTTAAGCGGGTATCTCCCCTTAACCTGCTTGCGCTTGTATGGCTTTTGAAGAGTTCGTGCTAAAATCCGGTCAACGCGGCGATAACGCCTGTGTAAGAAGTGAGTCCACTCGAACTCGCTTGCCTTAACATAATACATAATACATACAGTTCCGCAGCACAAACGACCATACCAGAAGAATTAAGCTTACCCCGGTTATTTCTCCTCAGGATTACATACAACGGTGACCTGCTCAATCAGTGCTCTTGTATACAAGTATTCAGCCGTGGGGTGCATAGTTGCCATATAGCCCGTAGGAAGAAATAGAAATACCTGTTCACCCAAGCTTATAAGAACTAGAAACGTCAGGTAGATTCACGCAGCTTCCGTAGGGAAGCTCGAGACTTAACAAGTCCTATGTGACAAAAAATGCAAACACGTCCAGGTATCCTCCTTAGGCCTAAAAGGGATGGTCGGACAATACAAGTGCGGGAGAACGGTTCAAAAAACTCTTACCTGATCTTCCAAATCCGATAATCTCAGCTACTGGAGGCGAGTTGGGTTGAAAATGGGAAGCCGTATCAGCTGTTGGAGGCCATGCTTGTAACACCATGCACGCTGCTCCTTCGGACATGGCGAATCCATCACGAAGTGCGTCAAATGGACGAGAAGCTTCGATTGGAGCTTCATTGAACCTGGTAGTAAGAGCACGGATACGAGAGAACGCCGCAATCGCCCATGGATTGACGGTAGCCTCACAACCGCCTGCAACCATGAGATCAGCTTCACCATACTGAACTGTGAATAGGAGAAAAGTAAACAAAAATTACATGCGTACGTCGCGTGGATCGAAGTAAAACAAATCAGATGAAGAGAAAATAACTCACTCATACGGTATGCATCACCGATTGAATGAAGTCCGGTAGCACATGCGGTATTGCCAGCCATACAAGGTCCACGTAGCCGCCACAAACGGCTAATCGCACCAGCTGGCATATTAGCCAAACTTCGAGTAAGGGCATGTGGTCCGATGCCTTTGTATTTCTTGGAGTTTATTGCCTCGCTTGTGTCCACAATTTCTTGTATGCCCTCCATTCCTACACCAAAATGTACGCCTTGTGGGGAAAAGAAAACAGCAAAAAAAAGGTGACTACATTTTTCAGACCGAGTAGAATTTGTGATAAGTTGCTGATCGCTGGCATCGAGGCTGTGGAAACCTCTTCAGCTTTCAGAGGACCAGGATGCGGCACGAAAAAAGAATGATAGGAAATCACACTTAAACCAACAGTCCAGTTTGACGGTTGAAAAGATATTTTTGTAAATCCTTATTGAGCAGGATAGCGAGGGAGGCAGAGAGGCCAGCATGTAACAGGTTCTTTGTGACGAAAACTACTCCAACACAGTGATGGATAGCATTAGCATCGTGAACCATGTGTACAACTTGGGTCAGTTATGTTGCTGAGACGACAACTTTATCCACAAAAGTCGCAAGGTGTTGAGCTGTAGATATTCAATGTCACGAGGATCGAGGTTTTCCGACTGTATGAAACATGTGAAAAGATTTTGCCCAATATTATGAAGTACCAACCAGCTAAGTCTACCCAGCGCCGTTAGTCGCGCAAGACCAGAAACAGTTGTCAGATTGCTGACTAAAAACGCTAAAACAGGAATGCAGTGGTTTAATGCGCCAATGCTAACCAAGGGGAAACCAGCAAAATAGGATTCGGAACGATTTAATATATGAAGTCTACCCAGTAGCTACTACGACCCCTGTAAAAAACCAAAGGGTCCCCTTCGGGATACCGTTAAAAAAGCGCGAACGGACGAACTAGAGATGGTCCATGACATGAATAATCCTGAAGGCAGTCCTTCCAAAGAGGAACATAGGGATATATCCAGCGAAGCGCTGAGATTATTCATGAGTGACTCATTGGCAATTCAAGGTTTGTGTACATCTCCTTTGTCCGCAAATTGTACTTGTGAACAATACTTAACTATCTTCCTTCTTAACATCACTGGCATCCTAGGAGATAAGAGTGGAGTTCAAAAGTGAATAATATCGACCCTGTTAGTAGAAGAGAGGACCAACGTGCTTGAGACTGCACGCGATCAGTCACAGACGGCTCGTGAATGAAATGAACGGGCCCTTGGTGACCATGCCGCTATAGGCTCTAGCACATCGATGAGAAGTGGAGAGTCGCTGCCTCTATTAGGGTTGTCAGTTACCAGTGTTATTCAGATCAGTCCCCACCTGCTGTTACTTTAAACACTCTACTCATCCTTGCTTGATCGGTCACTGCTTTTAAGTAGTCACCCCCGAGCATTGGACAAAACATCACTCCTGTGTATTTTCTCCAGGACGGCTAAAATATGGAACTTCATTTTACTCAAAATTTCTTCAGCTCCTTCAAGTCATCCATTTTTACGCTACCAGTTGCCAGACACTTGACATCCTGTGTGCGTTTCATTTAGCGTTGTTTCGTGCTTTAAATGTTCGTCCTTAACAGGGGTTTTATGCTTTGAATTTCAACCTCACCCGCGAATTCACGTTTCGTGTGATGCAAAACGCCAAGTGCCCAATGTTGGTATTTAACTGCTAGATAAGTCTACAGAAAAAGTAGTGCAGTAAAGAGAAATAAAAGCTAAGCACTCTTAAAACTGGCAAGGCACCAGTTTGTCAATAGGCAAACTCTTATATGAACAACCGAATTCATTCACCGCAGAGAACTGCTAATATGTGAAACATGCGGTGTTCGGTCGGTTTGAGTCAGCTACCACGAAGATACAGAGGACAATGAAAAGTGAGGCAGACAAAGCGGTAGAAGAAATTCTGTCTGGAAGTGGACAGTATATGATCGCTTTTAAAAATAAGTTATCAGGTAGAAACAGAAAACTCTACACTTACGATGACAGAACTCAAAGCCCGTCAGCAAATCATAGCAACAAGGGTGTCCAATACATCCTATTTAAGATAATACCAGGGCTCGAAGTAGGAGCGAATAGGCCACAATCAGGAGACATCCAAGGAGGTCGAAAAATTCAGGGTAAATGGCAAAAAATGATCTACCAGTGACTAGTGAATTAGTACAGAAGTAACACTCACAAAAAGTGAGGAACTCACTAATGGAGACAAGTACTGCAAGTACTAGGCCTACGTCGATAACCGCATCTCGGTGGCAGATTTGTAGTAACAACGCTTATGTATTCCCAAAGACGTTTCAAGTAGAAAAAACGTTAACATTTCCTAGTATCCGGACTCCCTGCAATATGGGAGTCGATAACGCTGGCCAAACCAAGCCATAGAGGAATTGCGGTAAAACAAGCGCATACTCATACTTACCAGACCGGTTATTGGGGCTATGCTTTAATCCATCTTGCTTCCAGCCAGCCTGAGTAAGCGCCTCACAAGCCGCCACAATACCGAAAGCAGCCGCCCGAGACAGAGAGCGCCAATCAATGGACGTGTTACTGACAGCCAAACGATGCTGCGTCTGTTCTTTAGCTGACACACATTCTTCAGAGCCAATGATGCCTGCGACACGGCAAGGCAAGAAGGAAAACTCGTCTAACCTTACAGTCTCACGTATTGGAACAACTCAATAACTTACCTGGTGTAGCTGAAATACCCGATACGGGTTTAAGGAGACTGTTCCAGAATCGCTCAATACCAATGCCGATAGAACTGCAAACTCCCAAACCAGTGATAACAACACGGCGCTTGGGATGCATTTGTAGGCTAAATGACAGGAAGTGTATTGTAGCTATGAACCAGAAAAAAGTTTGAATGGTCATACATTTGAAAAATAAACAGCTACACTTTGTCTATCAAAGGTCCTTTATCATTATCATCGACAGCATGGCACCAGTGTTCAACACCAATGCTTCACTGCCGTACTACCATGATTTATTTGAAAATCTTATTGTAAAGAAAAGAAGAAAAGTGGACGGGGAGGATGCTTAGTGTCAGCTTACTACATTCATTTTGAGATGCCTACACCTCCAGACATTCACTCAGGCAACCTGGATAGAAGTTGACGACGAGAACGCCACTGACGACGGTTGGAAGCCATACCTTGTAGTGTCTTCAACCAGGCGTAGTGGGGATCACACGGTCCCCATCCTGAAAGGCGAGTAGAACCGACAGCATCCAAACGTTTCATGATTTCTTTCATACCCCTCTGCTAGGTCAAGGGTTGGCTACCTCTCTGCTCCCGCCACTCCGAGTTGAGCAGGGAAAACAGCACTCTATTCGGCTAACGATGGCTAGGCATAGGCGACACATGTACCAACCAACGCAACTTTTGGTGCTGGACACATTCTTCAATGGAAGTACCCGCTGCACAACCGAAAACTCATTTTCCAATTGCCTCGTTACGGATACCCCGATGCTAACTCACAGGAGCCATGGTTCTGAGACAACGATCGTCAAACACCTGAAGAAGTCTCAGTTCCGCTGCCCGAAACAGGCCAAGTCTCACAACCATACAACAAAATAGCCCGCACTGTAGCTTGATACACACATCCCTTGAGATTCAGGGATGCAATAGGTGTCTCAAATTAGAAAACGCAACCCAGGCCTTGCAGATTCGTGCACTGAGCTCATCTGTCACACTATAATCAGAACTAATACAACTTCCAAGATACGTAAAACGCTCCACAACTTCCAGTACCTCGCCCTGGATTGTAAGTGGCACGTTCAGTGACTGCACACCCACTTTGTGGGTGCACAGTGCATACCAAAAGACGAGATGACTTTGGTCAGCTCATCCAAAAACACCTGCGCCTTCTCCTCTTCGAAGATGTGAACGATGTCGTCTGCGTACTCCAGATCGACAAGGTTTTCTTTACAGGCTATTTGAACACCAGGGTTTTGGTTACCCTCCAGCGTTCGTCTCACTATTTCATCAATCAAGGAGTTAAAAGGGAATGGAGAGAGTGGACATCGCTGATGGACACTGCTTTATGTACGGAAGCTTTTGGAGAGCTCTCCACATACCCTCACACGTCCGAAAGTTTTGGAATACAAAGAACGTAGTCTGTTTACAAACTTCGGGGGCCTTTCCTTGGTGGACAAGGTTGTCAAGAAAAACAGACCGATTGTCATGATTTTTTCTCGAGGACACTCAATCCGAGCGAGAAGAATCATTTTGCCATCGAAAAGAAGGCCTACGCTGTCGGTCGTTCCATCAGGAAATGGCGGCACTATCTACTCGGAAGACCCTTCAAACTGATCACCGATCAGCGTTCAGTCTCATTCATGTACGGCGGTGGACAGAAGGGTAAAGTGAAAAACGACAAGATACAACGATGGAGGATTGAGCTGTCCGAGTACAAATATGATGTCATATACCGACCTGGCAAGGACAATCATGTCGCCGACACTCTGTCACGAAACGTATGTGCTTCCATGGGGAGCAATAACCAACTCGGAGAGCTCCATAACTCCCTCTGCCATCAAGGCATTACCCGTATGTTTCATTTTGTGCGTTGCAAGAATCTCCCCTACTCCGTCGACGATGTCAAGCGCGTCATTTCCTCCTGCAAAGTGTGTGCTGAACTGAAGCCAAGATTTTGGAAATCCTCTGGTAGACTCATTAAAGCAACACAACCTTTTGAACGTCTGAGTTTGGATTTTAAAGGTCCTTTGCCATCTAATACACGCAACCGCTACTTACTCACTATAATTGACGAGTTCTCTAGATTCCCATTTGCATTTGCGTGTGCGGATATGACCTCGGCAACTGTGATTGACTGTCTCACACAAATCTTCTGTCTGTTCGGAATGCCAGCCTATATCCATTCCGACAGAGGCTCATCGTTCATGTCGTCTGAGATCAATAGCTTTCTTCTGGAGAAAGGTGTTGCTATGAGTCATACATCAGCTTATAATCCACAGTGTAACGGTCAAGTTGAGCGTCTCAACGGTACTCTCTGGAAAACAATAAGCTTAGCGCTGAAATCTCACAATCTCCCGCCTTCCCGTTGGGAATCAGTACTCCCTGATGCTCTACACAGCCTCCGATCATTGTTATGTACAGTCACTAACTGTACTCCACACGAAAGTTTGTACCAATACGCACGTCGCTCAACATTTGGAATATCGTTGCCATCTCGGTTGACCAACCCTGGTCCAGTTCTGCTACAACGAGGTGATAGGTCATCCAAGTACCAACCACTAGTAGAAGAAGTTGACCTTCTGAACTGCAACCCACACTATGCACACATTGCTCATCGAGACGGAAGAGTCGAAACCGTGTCCCTTCGCCGTCTAGCCCCAGCGGTTCAGAATACAACTGACAATATTCGCAATATGTCTGAATCCAACGAGGATACCGAACACCCAGATACTACTGAACTAACCGGACGTCAGCCCGATAGCTCTCAAGCATCTGAATCTTCTTCTGTACCGTCCTCCGAACACCAACCGAGTTATCCAGGGATTCTAGAACAACAGCGACGCATTCATCCTTATAGATTGAGGAACAGAGAAGCTTGATTCAGTACACCACTTCCTGTCTACGTCAGCTCATATGTGCCTATTAAAACACTGTCGGGGGTGGATGTCATGATTTTTGTGTACTTATTTTTATACTTAACATATGTACTCGTACTGAACTTTTGTATGTACATTTCAGCTCATGTACGCTTGTTCTTAGACAAGTAAAACGTTGCCTATCCTCGAAAATCTGGACTCTGTTCTAACTCGCTCTCGGACTCTTTCTAAACGTCTCACCGATCAACCAAGAAGAAAGCACCTCGGAAGTCCAGGAATACCATAATTGGTGGTCGCTCGTACGTATGGTGTTGTTCTAGCACCTGACGGAGTGTGAAGATTTGGTCAACGCAACCCATACCAGGCCGGAACACCGCTTGCTGCTCTTGAGTCAGTATCTCACGAGCCACCGTAAGGCGACGAAGCACAATTGACGCCGAAAGTTTCGTTACAATTGGAGTCAAGCTGATCCTCCTGTGTTTACTAAACTCACTACGCGCCCCTTTTTGGAAATGAGCACTATCACTAACTCTCCCCAGTTGTCCGAGACAGACTCCTTTTCCAAAATGCAAGCAAACAGATAAGACAAGCGTGGACTTGGGACTCCATCCCCATCTTTGAACAATGCGGGTGGGAGGTCATCCGAACCAGGAGCTCGGTGGCGCTTAAGAGAACATATGCAGTCGTAAACCTCCAAGGCCACAGATGGTTCTACGTTCACCGTCCAGGGTTCTACTTCACCTGTGGGCGCTAGATTAGTGTCAGCTGGTGGCCACGACAACCATTGTTCGAAGTACTCAACTAATCGGTCGAGGCGTTCTTCTTTATTAGAGACGCCCGCTCCATTCTGATGCTTGATGGTTTCGCCCACAGGCGGCTTACGGGGACTGTTTGAACAGATCAACTGAAATAATCTTCGGGCATTACCGGCTTCCTGGGCTTCTTCTATTTCTTTGGCTTCCTGTGTCCACCATACTTCACGGTCAGCTCGCACGCTCACTTTCACTTGATGTCTAATAATTCTTCGCACCAGGTTAAGCTCGGGACCGGCTGGGATATTTCTCCGACATTTAAGCAGTGCCAGCGTTCGGTCCGATATCCAAAGCTTGCGTGCGTCTGGTTTGGCAGTGCCACAGGCAAAATTCCCAGCACTATACGAAGAGTTAATAACCTCGTCTCAGTATGCGTTCACATCTGACGGTGGAGCATTTGGAAGGGACTCTAGAAGACGATTCTGGTAAATTCGTCTAAGATCATGATTTGCCAGTCTCTCACTTGCCAGGCGATTTGTTCGCACCTTACGCGGTCCAGGGAAACGTAGGGAGAAGCGATTTCGGACGAGTGCGTGGTCAGAATCCACAAATGTGTTCCAAAACGATCAGCAGTCAGTTATTGATCCGCGCCATCGGTAGCTAATGGCAACGTGACCGATTTGAGTTTGTGGCCGGTACGCCGTTGAGGCCATGTGGCCAGACGACTTCGGCTATTTCGGACTTTAGTATTGCATAAATGGAGTACTGCATTCTCAAGTCTTTGAAAATAAGTATTTCGGAAATATGGCGAATTCGTCGGAAAACGAGTCTTCTGTGAAACGGAAGCCACATCGTTCACGCAATTGATCCAGCACTGCAAGTTAATGTAATCGGGCTACCATTTACCGAAAAGTAAGTTGGTTTTCTGTGCCTAATTCAGAGTGGTAGAAGTCTACATGTGGAAAGATGACACGGCGGAAAAGAATGGCGGACGTTACGAAACGTCTGAGTGCTCTTTGCCTTTGGGGATGAAGTCCATAAGGCTAGGTTACTGAAAGATGTAGCGGCTAACCAATGTCAGTGGCGTTTAGGTTATCCAGATTGTCTCACTGAGTGTTGAAGATGTCGGTGCGCCGGACGTTTGTGGTTGGATACTCCTGAGTCCCCCTGTTAGTCACTTTTTTCTTTATTCCATTTTAACACTTTGTTCAAATAAATTAACATATTTGTAAGAACGTGAAGCGCCAGTGTTCCCCTTAGATGATGCCGTCAATGATGGTGATGATGACGACGATTATTATTACGGTCTGTTAATGAAATTGCTTGCGGAAACAAACACAACCCTTTCTGAGCATTGGTGTCCAATTTTAAGACACAACAGATGAGAACAAGAAAATATCAACATGTTCAGAATCACCGCCAGAATGCTTAGTACTGTTGTTCCTAGAATATACCCAAAAGAGCGCAATATCAATCAGTGCCAAATTTACTTACATTCTACAGGACAGACTGTCTCCTGAGAAAGGTGCCTCCAAGGAGAGCAGTCTAGCCAGTCAAATGTGTGACATCTCTCATTACCTTCAGTTGTCATCCGTTGAACGCTGAGTTTCCACCACACAAAAAATATTTTGTCGGCCGGTGGCAACTAGGTATAGTCACTTCAACTTGCGGAGCTAGATCTATTCTTTGGGTGAAGTATCGTCTACTTCGACAAACACCCGTCATCTGATCACCTGGTTCTGGTCAACTCCAAACATCCTTCTGAGACACCGGCGGTCAAAGACCTGAAGGCTTCTCATATCCTCGCCCGAAGTGGCAGAGACTTGCAGCCATACAAAAATAGACCTCATGCGGGCTGTAATCCGATATACGCGTCCTTTGAGACTCAGAAATAACTTCTTGATGTCACGAATAGCAGGAACTGGCAAAAGCAATCCTGATGTTCGAGATTCGTTTCAACTTCGTCCGTCGCACTACCGTCAGATCGTATGCAACAGTGAGGACACGTATAGAGCTCCTCAAATTTCAATGTCACTCCCTGAATTCTAAGCGGTGCTAATGACAGTTGCGCAATATTACTGCAACGGCCTACTGAGTGTAGAGTTCCCTCCAAAGTGTTGAGTGAACTCGATTCCACCTGCAGTATACAGCGCCCACCAATTTAGTTTACTTATATGAAGGCACTGGTGAGCTTGAGGTAGCTCAATGCTTTAAGCGTGAAATTACTGGCCGGAAGGTCCCTGGTTCGAACCCAACATTTGCATCTCGACTCCTCCAGTCTAGGTTTGGGCGAGCTGAGGGCATCCAAGTGCTGGTGCCTCCTTCGGGTGCCACGGCGGCCAGGAACGACAGGGTATGCTGTGACACGTGTTACAGCCGAGCGACTGCAGTGTTTCATTATGTATCGATGATGTATGTAGTATGCATGCTATGGAAGTACAGGCGGATAGTACTATCCGAATCACGTGATTCTCCGACAATTTCGGTGGATGGAAGACTGAATGAAACACCATAGACCGTAGCCCAGTAAACAGAGTTGTACATCATTGATGCCTACATACAAGTCAACCAGTGACGGAAACTGTGTACGTAGAAATACCATAGACGAAGAGCTCAGCTGAGCTCCCACAAAAGCAAATATGTTTACAAATGAGTGTATTTCGCTAAACTATATGCTGCATTGCACCCCTGCTTACTGGAGAGCTCAGCTCCCACAAAAAAAAAAATGTTTACAAATGAGTGTATTTCGCTAAACTATATGCTGCATTGCACCCCTGCTTACTGGAGTTCAGTTCGTGAGGTTTCATTCAGTTTCCATCCACATAAGTTGCCTTAAACCCTCACTTTTGCAGAATAACTGGCTCCAAAGCGTGCACACTACGCTCGACTTCATTTGGTCATGTGCCAAAGTCCTAGGCCTCTGGCGTACAAGTCCTGTCAACCAACAATGGGTGTCAAGGAGTCGTCAAACAACGAGTCTCTCCCGGCGTACATCCCATTTTCATTGGTCGAAAACCCAGCGGTTAGGATCTCGCAAACACCGCCAGAGGCCATCGATGGCCGGTCGCGGTGTTTTTGTGTCTTTCTTTCGTTTCCATTGAAAAAATTACGTATATTACCAATTGCATAAACGTTTTTGTTTGAGTACAAAAAACCACAAAAACGCGCACTTGTACAATTTCACGCAATAGAAACGTGGTCATATGTTTCGAATCTCCCTTCTGGTTTCGCTCGCGCTTACAGCAGTTATTCGCGAGTCTCACGTGCTAATTCTGGTAGCAAAACATTTCAGAATATCTTCGTAATCGTTAAGTGAGCGTTGTTCGGAAGACCCCTGGACAACCAAGATTGGATTATTGTTGATTCACTGACCCGGGCGAACGACCAACCATTTTATAAAGACAAATTCTTAGTGAGTCTGTTTCATCTGACCTCTTTGGTATTGTATACTCGATCTGGCGTTATAATTTTTTTGCCACACACCCCTGGTGAAGTAACTTATTGAGTAGCTGGACCACTACAAACATATCAGATGAATCTGCCCTCAAAAGTCCGACATGACACTGTTGTTCGCGCGCTTGCCCTGCGTCAAATACAATATTTAAATGTGATTTGATACGATACGCAATGCTGGAGTATCCGTGCATCCACTCTGAACTACTCCTGGTTTCAGGAATTCCCAACTATTCATAAGATAGTACAGCATCCCTTGACAGTTTTTATATGAGTTGCGACGGTTTTGGAGCGCAGAAAGCGCATCAGTAAGCTAGATTCCGTCGGAAACAAGACAAAATTGCTGCCTATTGTGAGACCATAAGCACGATTAGCTGCCTAATCGGATGGCCTCGAACATCGTAACCGCATGCATTGTCGCTTACATTGGATGGCCATCGTAAATGCTGGTGGTCCGCTGATTATGAGGTCAGAGCTACGCAAGGTAAACTAATTGCGTGGCCAACGGCAACCTCCCATCATGATAATCGTATGCGTTGTATCTTTGTTAATCCGGAACCCGAAAATCATGAAACCCCGTTTGTTGAATAATCTTTTTATTTAATTAACTCGCCCTAACGGACATCACAGCAATAGTTTCTATTCCTGTTTTCCGTAAATTACCTATTGTTGACCCCCACCCAGAAAGGGTGAAAGGTTTTGCCATATCGACCTAGTATAGTCCTTGGGCACAAGCGTTGTAATATTACATGCTTGTAAAACTAACATGTCGACATCTCAGGTAATCCCAATATTGACATTGAGTACTTGGATTCAAAGATAATGCGGCGATGTCGAAAGGAAACAAGCGCCCATATAACTGGATGCGAGCAAAATATGAGCAGAAAAGGGGTGCATAGTGGTCATTCGTTAGATTGGTCGTGGTTGTGACGTCCGATCATCAGGCTTCTGGGACAGCAGGCGCCCACAAACATTTATTAGTCGACGTTGCCAAGACAACTATTAGGTGGGCTCTCACGTCGGAACTTGCTTCGGTAGAGCAGCGGATTGAACTACGAGGGACTCGCTAGATGAATTTTCATTTCATTTCAGTATTTTACATTTTGCGTATTCGGCACTGTGAGTTCCAGCAAGTAAATACGCCAAATGAAGTGTTCTTTGCTTCTGTTGATCTGGTCGCCACTCGTTAGCCTTCCCTGTATGACTGAACCTTGGGGAATGTACTTCCGACTGAGGCAGCCTGCTGAGTAGCGCCAACAGCTAGCCGGTTTCTGCGTCAAGGCAGCATCGCAGTCGGTTGTTGTCTTTTTAAAGGGTCTCGGTAACATTTCGGGTTTGGAAATCAGGATATTACCATTTCGCGATTCAAATGCATTCATTACTCGTCCCCCTTCACAAATTTTGATCCTTGGTGGTGGTAGCCATTTTATATCCCACTTCGTCTCCACTTTACAACCACTTGGATCTCCAACAGAATTAAAACTACCCGTGATTCTGAATCAGCTTGATTCTACCTATCTTGGTCCATTCGAATAACCTGGATTTCGCCAACCGCCAACCAACAGCCTTCATCCGATCACTTCAACTACGATGTCTGTTAAAGATCTTTCCACAAACCGAAGTAGGTCGGCGCAGTGATCGTACGGCGCTGCGTTACTAAGTTCGATGCCTCGCTCGCAATTATTCTTCCCACACACTCCACTGTCTTCTCAAACTCTCACATGAAAATATGAACAAACAAATCAACTGGCCCCGA